GTTTATATTCAAACTACTGTTTATATTCAAACTACTGTTCATATTCAAACTACTGTTCATATTACACTACCACTAATATATATATATTTTTTACTAGTCTTATTGCATATGTCACTTTACCTATACCAATATCAAGGACTTTATACATACACTATGTACATTCACTTCATATGCTGCTTTGCCACTCACTACAAATATCAATGTCAGGACCTTCATTTCATTTTATTTTTATAGATATATTTTTTTAAATATTTTTTTTATACCGCTATACTACAATTTAAGACAGTATCATGCTTTTATTATTTAATTTTATGCTTATGTTTTAATGTTAAATGGTTATTGTTGCACCGGGGTCTTAGAGTAATGTAATTTCAATCCTGTGTATGTCCTGTACATATTGCAGTTGACAATAAAGTGACTTTGATTTACAGTAAACTGACAGTAAAGTCAGTAAAATATGAAATCATGCGCTTCTATTATATGACAACTTGGCTTGCTGTACTGCTGATCGGACGGAGACGCCATCTTTCCTATCAAACTATAACAAGGAAGAACTGTTTATAAAAGGTGAGGAAATTATATCAAACGATTCCTTTTTCATTAAACATTTCTTCTGATTCGACTCTCGGGGCGTAAAATCCTTAAAATTCAAACCTGTTAGCATTTAGCATGGAGCTAAGTGTTCGCTTAAATGTTAGCGGAAGCTCAAAACGCTAGCCTGAAGCTAACCGCTCCGGCAGTTCCCGTTGACACTCAGCTTCATTTTGTCGGATTATTAAGAACCACTTGTTTAATTTTATCATCTTATAACCACATCCGAACGTATAAATGTTTGGTGACGACTGACGTGATGTTGTCAGGCCCAGATAGTGACTTTATCAGCGCTAACTGTCAAGCTAACTGCTATCAAAACGCGAATTATTCGCCTGAAACTGAATAAAAGCACCGAGTTACTGTCGCGTTGTTTTTTCCCCTCAAAGTTTAAATAAGTCGAGTGAAAAGGTAGCTTGTCAAGACATTTAATACATTGATATGAGAAGCAAATCATGTCGAAAACAAAGCTGCAGCTGAGTTTACTTTCACTCATAAATTTGGATTTATGAGCTACCTTCAGTTTAGACTTAACGCAGTTTTATTACAAGGAAAGTTCATTATCTACCACAAAAGTCACGTCAAAGAACAAACTCCAAATGAACAATGAACCCAACAATAAAATTAAATCCATGGAATTTTACTCATTTAAATGATAGCAGCTCAGTTAGCTAGTCTTCAACCTCAGCTGTACCTTTTTATGATGAGGGGACTGGGAAACCATCTGTTTGTTCATCTTGTGAGCTGGACAACTTGAAAAATAAGCAACAGGCCGACTAGTCCTCCCATCTCGGCGTAAGAAAGGTCACCATCTAAAATGGGGTTGTAATTTCAAAATCCAAGATGGCCACCACCATGTAAATTAATAAACCAACCACCCCGATCATTTATGGAAAATGCTTTGTAGTTTTTATTTTGCTTTAAAGTATGGTTTCTTCAAATGATTAGGGTGTCCACAGATGAAGTGGGCCATGTCCACCACTGGCCACCCCCTGGCTGCATCATTGGTGGTGGATGAAAATGCTGCTCCACTCGCCAGGATCCTTCACTCTGCTGCCTCAAACAAACAAAAAACAACTATCTGTTCTTCTCCAGTGTAACTTGTACCCATTTGAACATCTTGCACCAAAAACATTTAGGTTTACTTCATTCCCTGTTCAGTTCCAGTTAAGAAAAAAAACACTCGCCTCCAAAACTACAAACATTCACTGTTCAGATGTCTCAGTGAACGTCGGAGTGCTGCTCAAGTTTTTAACTGCTTCAACCTTTTTTCTTGACTGTTTTTGTGTCAGGATTTCAGAGCTGGATAGAAACCGTCTTTGGCAGCTGGTTTTATTTACGACACGATCTGCTGCCTAGCTGAGCTAAATTTGACCGCTGGTGCTGCAGCTGATGTCCAAATATCCATATCACTAGCGAGTAACTCAAACTGTCAGGAGTTTAAGTCTACCCCCCCTTAGGTCATCTGTGATCTTTAGCTCTACCTTAAAAAAAACAACACAGGATTGACGCAGGTTTATCTGAGCGTGCCGTGAGGCTGCTAAATAATGAACAATCCAAGCTTTTTGTTGGTGTTGAAGAGAGTCTCGGCTGGTTCTGGTCTTGGTGGTGTCATGTTCATGTGGCAGAGTTCGCAGTCCCAAAGATAGACCCGGTGACTTTGATACGAAGCGCAGGAAGCAGCGGCACGGCTGGTTTGAGTGTTTACAGACAGACAGGTCACGTGTTCTCATCAACTGATCCGTCTTCGTCCTGAACAGACCGAGCTGTCAGAACCCGCCACACTCAGGGCTTCATGTCTCAAATACAGGATGGATTTATCACAGCTTAACTTTAAATTACAGATGTAGTTTGTAGCTAAAGCCTTGTGGTTCAAACACTGACTTCTCATCTTTCCAAGGTTCAAATCAATCTGTGATGGACTCCAGGCCTCGGAACCCTTTCTGCTTGTCCAGCACCAGGTACTCCTACACTGTGTCCAGTCCCACGGTCTCGTCCACGTTGGGCTCCGGTAGTCGGCTGTACGGCAGGGAGCCGGCGCTGAGTCGTGACCGCCTCCCGAGGGCTTCGTCGCCTTACAGATCCGACCTGGATAAACAGGTAGGCTGAACGTGTGGAGCGGTAACCGGGCTGGAGCTACCCCACCCGGAGTTTACTGACGGATGAAAACCACGCGAGAAGTATCTGTGTGTGCTTGAGCCAACTTAACGAGTTCTGTTATGTTTTCATTTATGTTTGGGGTTTATTTATGTAGCGTTAAGGGACATTTACCTGTTCTCTCTAAACTTCAATCGGACCTCCCTGAATCTTTAATACAGAACCTCAGAACATTGACCCGCCTCACACTAAATGTCAACTGTTTTATTTAAATATTGTCAATAAAAGTTTTTTTCTGTATTTTACTAATATTGCTGCTTGTTGTGCATTAACAGTGTCAAACTAGTGTCCAAGAACTTTTCCCATTATGTCGTTTTAAATTCTCGTTTTTCATATTTGTAATACTTTCTAACATTTACCTTTTTATCCATCCATCCATTATCTTTTACCCGCTTCTTCCATTTTGGGTCACGGGGTCGCCGGTGCCCATGTCCAGCAATCACTGTGCGAGGGGCGGGGGACACCCTGGACAGGTCGCAAGTCCATCACAGGGACACACAGAGACAAACGAGACAAACAACCATTCACTCTCTCACTCACACCTAGGGACAATTTTGAGTTACCAATCAGCCTAACATGCATGTTTTTGGTCTGTGGGAGGAAACCGGAGTACCTGGAGAAAACCCACGCATGCACGGAGAGAACATGCAAACTCCACCCAGAAAGGCCCCCAGACTGGGATTTGAACCAAGGACCTGCTTGCTGAGAGGCAGCAGCTCTACCAGTTGCGCCACCGTGCTGCTTACCTTTTTATATATTTTTTAATTTAACATTCCTGCGCAAAGACTGAAGCAGAAATAACAACCGAAACTTTAAAATTTTAAAATGAGGAAAATATATTTAAGTAACAAAAGCGCAGCAAAAACCAACATCTGTATGAAAACATAAAACTAGATTTAAATTGTACAAAGATGGCACTTCAGTAAAGGTTTTAAAATGAAGCGTCTCAACATTTTCTAAATAAAAAGTCTCATGTGCTGATTACCACCTAATGCTGTGTTTAACTCTTAACACTAAAATACACGTTTGAATAATGAATGTGGTTTAATCCAACACTAACCTCATAATCTCAGGTTAACAGCTGTGAAGCTTATGTGCAAACATTATTGCCCTCCACCAAAAGGTGAAAGATCATTTTCTGTTTCCTGCCTGTTCGTTTGACTGTTAGCAAAATATCTCCTAATTAGCTGGACGGATTATATTGACGCTCCCAGGAAGTAATCATCCGTTCCTCTACAGCTGATAGACTGTTGGTTTATCCAAGATGGCCGATTTGAGGCGTACGTTGCCTGCAGGTTTGTTTCAGGTGCTACAGTAGCCGACAGCGTCTATCAGCCGTGCAGCAGCCGAAGCTTCAGGCCTCTTTTTATAGGACGACCCAGATTCCTCGTGCGTATTTCAGAACCTCTTGTCGAGGTCCATTTCAGAAGACGGTGTTAGTTCGGCTGCGACCTCGTCTCTTTTTTTAGAAGAGCAGAGTGAAAAAAACAAACATCGTCTTCTCGTTCGACTCCACATTCACGCTGTTGTGTTCCGTTTTTTTTTTTTTTCAGCCCAATTAGTTCTGGAAACCGTTCAAAACGTTTGGCTTGTTCAGACGATGCCTTCGGTTATTTAAACCTTTATACTTTTCAAAATATTTACCTCCATTTACAAATATTTTCCTCATAGAAATGTAGACTAAAAAATATATATTAAAAAAAAAGTTTTTCAGCTCTGCTTCAACATGCTTGCTCTTTGTGTGTGTGTGTGTGTGTGTTATGCTACTTTTAGCTTTTAGCCATTGAGCCTTTTGGTGCTTTGGGCTTTTAGCTAGTGTTCAGCTCCTTTTAGCTTTAACGACTCAAACTTCTCTAGCAAATCTTATCAAGCCTCTCAGCTGCGTTTTTCCAGGAACTGTAATTCTCCAGTTTTGGTTTTATCTTCAGAGCTCAAGTGTTTAACTTGTAAAAACAAACTTTGAGAAATTTGTTAGAACTTAAATCTGGTGAATTTAGTGAAGTGTTGACAAAGTTTACATGGAAACCAGGACGGGCACCTTTCTTTCCTGTGAACCTGACATCTTGTGTGTCAGATTTGTTTCATGTCCTCAGTGAATTGAGGTGTAAATAATTTTTAGTGAGCACAAGTCAAACCGTCGGACAGATGAAGCCTGTTCCTGACTCCAGGCTTCAGGTCAGAAATAAACTCCCAACGTTTCCCGTCTTTTCTCCTCCTGAAGAGTTCTCGTCTTCTGAGCTCGTCCAGAGAGTACGGCGCTTCTGAAGCTCGCTCCCCCAGCTGGAGACTCCCCTCCCTGACGTCCTCCGGTAGATCCTACGACCGCCCGTGGGCCGAGTCTCCTCTCAGCAGCCGGAGCAAAGTGGTAGTGAAGCCGCCCGTCGTGCTTCAGCTCTCAGCTGGAGAAGCAGTTTCAAAGGTTTCAGGCTGGAAGTGAAGGTTTGCTTTTGTTGCAGACTGATCCTGAGGGAAGGCTGGGGAGCTCCTCGCGTGTGTTGGACACCAGCGATGATGCCGAATCTAAAAGGGCCAAACTGTCGTACCGCAACAGAGTACTCCAGTACTCCAGAACAGCCAGCACCTCTGTTCCAGAGTCCACCTACTGCAGTACTGGGCTCAGCGGCAGCAGGGGTACGTAATGACAGCTCATTCGGACCCGCGCCTCATTCAGAACGAACGAGTGTCTAAACTTAAAACTTCTGTTCCGCCAACGCACCAATGCCAGGCATCAAGCTAAAGTTGGATATTTTACCCAGTCCTTGAATGCATCAAAGCTAAGTGCTAATTAGCACTGGCAGTAGCAGCTGTTCCCTGTTTAAACTTGACTGAGTCCATCTCTTGCTGTTTGTACGACCTGTCAGGTGTTCAGTCGGTATTTTCACGTGTTGTTCCAACTCTTCATCAGCACGGGTCACATGTTTGTGCATTCTAATATAAGTTACACGGTACAAACAATGATTTATGGTTTTTGTTGTTGGCAACAGGAGCAGGTGAAACACTGCGCGAGTCGCTCAGTTCGCCGTGGAGCTCGTATCGTTTACGCTCGAGGTCATCATCAACCTCCTCTAAGCCGCTACTGTCCTCCAGAGAACAGGAGGCGAAGAAGGAGCCCAGCCTCTCTGGTTTGGGAGAAAGAAGAGTTGGGACTCCCGGACCGGCCTCCTCACTGTGTAAGACTTTTTAAAAACATTTATTTTCTTTGTGCCTGCCGCAGAGAGGTAAACGCAGACGTTTTCTCCAAACCTTCCATCTTCTGAACCACAAAGTAACAACGGCAGAAACTTGTGACTCAACTTTCTTTGGTTAAGTTTGGAAATATTGTAATTAAAAATAATAACGATAAAACCCAACATCATATTAAACTGACTGACTCGTTTTCTCAGAACAAAAGTAATCGGCAATCATTTTTAGATTTTACCGTTTCTGGAAACACCCCAAATTTGATGCTTTGTGACCCAAACTGTGTGAACCACTGAGCCTGTGAGGGTGTGTTGCTGGTTTTTGTTTCTACTTTAGGACTTTTACTGGTCTATTACCTAGCTTTGTCAGGACCACTAGTCCTTGGTGGACCATCTCCAAAGTCTGGTCCTAATACAGTGGAACATCATAGAGGCTGGTGTGAACTGAATTTTATGTTTGGGTTTGGCATTGACTAGTAATGGTTAGGTTTAGGTTTAGCTATATACTGGTAATGGTTAGGTTTAGGGTTGGCTATGGACTA